CGTAGAGAAGTTTGAATAGCAGATTTGGTTTATTTCGAGCACTTAGACCCTTTGGAACGCTGTTGCTCAATAGTCATTTTTATATGCATCAATGGGATTTTGTTGTTTGATGTGGACAGAAAAAGAAATATTTTATGGTCTAAGAAAAATTTGAATAGCTATCATCTGGCCAGAAAAAATTTCAATTTTCGCCCTTCGTGCAATCCGGGTGCTTTTTTTGCATTCAAAAGGAATTGTTTTTCTCTTCGTTGCACATTTCTGTTTGCATTTTTTTGTCAGAAGGATCGTAGCACTTTCTCAAAAGAAGATCCATTGCGTTGATATGTCCATTGAACAACTTTTAAAAGTGATTTTATTGATGCCAAAATCTCCTTCAGGCCTATAATATTCGTGAATATGTGGTAAGTGGTTAGCACCATTCTTCTGGGAATGCATCGCTCACTCATTGCTGAATCTTTATTTTGCTGAATGCATAAATAAGCATGGCAGTTCTTCGCTATATTGATGATAACGTTACTTGCCCGATTCTCGTATAGACTATCGTCTATGATCTAATCAGCTTGTCCTTTTGCTTTAATTTCGTTGATATCCCTGTCAATGCTCTGCAATAGTGCGTAAGACTTATGTTCAATGATGTCATTGTACTTGTTGGAAAGTTTAGCAGAAGAACTCTTTTTAGCATTAAAGCTATTAAGGCTTTGACTATTGCGTTTCTTTTTTTGCAGTATTACTGAAGTATTCATTAATCGTACCATATCCGAACAATCATTTATATTCAACTTTTGACCTGTTTCTTCGCTATGACGTTAATTTGCTATGGTTTCTGTATTGAAATATCGTTGCATGACTAACAGCGGATTTATTTTTTCAATCATACGAGAAATATTGAGTTGAATTCGGCGAAGTTGTTTCAGGCTTCATCTAATTTGCTCATTTCTTTGTGAGTTTCCATTTATTGCATGGAATTACCATTTTTATTTGATACATCGATCCATTAATTCATTTGTTTACTTCTTGCTATGGATACTTGCTGTTTTTTTTGACTTTGTTTCTCGATTCCGACAAAATGGTTTTGATCGCGTTATTCCTATTCAACTCTAAGAAGCGTGAGCAAACATATAGGCAATTTATTGCTGAATCTAAAAACGCATACTTCCTCGAGTGTTTGAATTTGTGTGAAAATCATTAAGTTTTAGTTGTAATCATGATCATTTCTTTTTTAAGTTCTTTAAGTAGTTACGTAATCAATCTTATGGCGACACTGTTGCAAAAAATAATGTTTACAGGATTGTTTTAGTGTTATCAAATAGGTGAAGAGCATTATCGGATTGCTCGATTTTTCATCAACCGCAAAATTCGTTGCAAAACATAAAAGTGATCTCATTAAGTAATCAAAGATCTAATCCATCAATTCCGTGTGAACCATTTTGTTGTCAATTTCTTACTATTCAGTTTGTAAGCCGCATTAATGTATGATTGACGTTCTGTTGCTGCAAAGCTTCATGCTGTGCTGTTGTATTGCAATTTCATGCATGCTTTCTTCTTCGGTTGGCTGCATTTGTGCTGGTGTGAATGCATCGAACTGTGCTACAAAACGATTCTTTCGCATGAAGTCGAGCTGGCAAACGATTATTCATCTGAATATTTCAGCGTAAACAGTTAGAAGAGAACCGCGAAAAGAGTGATTCCACTGATCATGGTCAAGAGTTATTGCCAGATGACGCTGATCAGTTGAACGAAACTCAGGCAAACACATCATCGAAACCGCCCAATATTCCAGTTGGTATTGGTGTGGCCTCAGCTGATGACAGCAACAATCCCAAACTACTGCCAACAATGGCTGGAATTCGTAGTTTGATGGCATCAGACGATAACATCACTACTCGAGCGCATCGCGGTGACATCGATGAACAGGCTGAATCGCAGGGTCACAGTACCGAACGTTTGATGTCGCTGACACCGTGCAGTTGGCCAGAATCTGTAACGTCAACATTCAGTGCAATTGGCGATAGCACCACCGAGATGATGTCAGGCGGATCAATGGGCTCAAGAAGTAGCACAATTCGTAGTGGTGTGGGCGTAGGTGGGGGCGACGGTGGTGCTCATGCAGCATCCGGGGCAGAATGCTGCGGAAGTGATAAGCGAGTGACATTCGGCTGGTCGGAAACACACGAAATAACACCACGTCAAACGCAAGAGATTATATATCCAGTGCCGAATGAAACTAAACAAACGCAGCCAAAAGATCGCCTCGAAGAACGGAATGCGTCCAGTCCTAAAAGTGACAAACATAGTGAAAGAATGGAAGAACCTAAACCAGCACCATCACTTAATCCGCCTTCAACAAAACCAGTCGAAATAATCCATCCGATCCGTCTACTTGATCAGCCGGCTAACATTGATAGAACTACTAGTGCTGGAGTTGCCGTCTCGGATAAGCCTCTACGTATAACCACCAGGGAAGTACGTGAGGTAGAAGAACAAGAAGAGAAAATCACAAAAGTTGAACGTAGAAAGGAGACAACGCAAAAGAAACTTCATCAACCACGTCGTATTCCCATCACACCAAACCTGCCACGTTCTCATGTTGTTCATTTGAGATGCAGTTCATGTAACAACCTACTCAGTGACAGCACTCCTTATCACGGTAGTTCATCAACAGCTCGAAACGTTGATCATTTCAGTGAAGATGAGACGTTTATTCGTAAAGAAAAGCAACAACACAGTTATCATCCCACTAAGGCATCCTCATCCAGTTGTGATGATGATCCACCAACAGTTCACGCCACTAGACATCACCGTTTGAATGGTGGTGGTGGTGTGACAACGAAGTCGTACGAATCGCTCACAGAACGCTTCTATAAAACGGATGTTCGTACGAAATGCTTCGTGACCAAATCGTTATCACCACAACGTGCAACGATCACGTTCAATTGTGAGACGTTCGATAAACCGCTGGATGAATTCAAACAACGCGCCCGTCAGCATAATACTGATCCGAATCGTACGCGTCCTAAACTTATTGAAGCAACGGTACGATCGTATGTATGAAATCAGTTTTGTTCACGAATTTGAATGTTCCTATTGCCGATCTGTTTTTTTGAGATTATGTTCATTGCAGTTGTCCCAGTTTCCGACTGTGGATAACAATATAGCGTGATTTAATCGGTTGAACATGTTTTTGATATGTTTTGAACATCTATCATTGTTTCTTCTTGAATATCGTCTGCTTTTTTGATATTGAACAGATTCGAGATATCTGTTCACTTATTGTATCGTAATACTCTTGTTTATTTTTGATTTTTATTTTGTAATTGAATTTCATATGTGACGATATTCTCAAAATTTCAAGATTTTACTGCAAAACAGTTGAGCACTTATATGCACCACTATATTGCGACTTCCTTGTATTAATTAACACCGTTCATTGCTGAACGATTCTTCAATGGATCTGGTCTGTAAATTATTATTGCCTCCCTAAATGAAATATCGATTCCCCGAAATTTTAAACGAATTTACATAATTGATTCAGTCATTGTATGAACTGAATTAATCAATTAATCACTAGGATTCACGTGAGTGGAGGCAAATCATTGAGCAACAACGTTTACCAAATGCGGGTGATTCGAGTAGCAGGAATCGTCTCGACTCCGACTCCAAGTTTCGAGTTGTACACAGCTCATCTGGATCGCTGAAGGACACTCTTATGAAGTAAGCGTTTTTTTTTTAATTTTGGATATAATGTTCAGTCGTTGGCCTCATATTGTGTTAATATCTTGTATTGCATAAAAGCCGTAAAGTCGGTAGAAGAATTCCGTTGAATTGAGTGATCAGACCAAGAGAATCGCGTGTAATGTTGCAATTATGACCTGCAACCGAGTCACTGAATATTTGCAGTCATGAAGTTGTGGTAGACTTTCACCGCTGTTCATGAGGTGGTGCTTCAAAATCTTTTAGATATTTTAGGATCAGGTCACTTTTGATAAACAGTCAGTACAAGCTGATTAGTACATTGTTATCATATTTTCGGCGGTACATTTGCTGTCGTCATAATTTCTTCGTTTCAGTTCCTCATCCTGGTCATCGCAGTCGTCACGACCTCATCCGCCGACTGGTATCACAGATGCAACTCGATTGAATAGAGCAGAACTGAATGCTTCTTCCGAATCAAAACTGTCCAAGGCTACAGCTCCAACGTCTATTCTGAGGACAAGCGTTGAGGTTGCTGATTTTTTTTTCTTCGGCTTTGTTATCGCATTTCGGTTCATCGCATTCTAATTTTTATGTCAACTTCGCAAATGTTACGCAGCCATTTCTTGAGGTGATTTCGTGAACCTGATTCACGTCAGTTTATGGTATCGTTCTGTTTCCGTCGATGAGATTAGAACCATTTGTTAGCTCCTTCATGTTAACACCCTTAAAGTTGATTCGTACAATGGGTTTGTTTGGAAATTTCGATTGTTTTAGTCTTGTTATGGCTTTAGTAATGGTGATTTAATAATAGCATGCTTATTGCAGGTACTACATAAGTTCCCAGAGGAGGTACAGTCTCATTCAGCCGACTCTAATGAAACCATGCCAGCAAAATCTTTTAGAAGTAAGCAACATTCGGGATCATTGCTGAAACTAATGCAATACCATTCTATATTAGTTCTATGAAATCCCGTTTGTTTGCTTCCCAAATTTTTTTTACAGCTTATCCATTTCACCTCCATTTAGGCAGTACTCTTCATAAGCATCAGTCGTTATGTGTTTTACGATGCCATTTATTTCTTGCATGGTTGATAATTGTTATGGGTCATGATCGCGTTCTTGTGCAATACATCTGAATAGAACTGTTTCCAAAATTTGTTTTATGTATATTTTGTGATATTATAGCCTTTGACGACTGACTGTGAAACTTATTGAATAATATGCGAATAAGGATTGAGAAATTTAACCTGCAAAAAATTTCGATGATTCAAACTGTGGAAATGAGTGAATGGAGTGATAATTCAGGTGGACGAGATGAAAACGTTGCTGAATCGAAATCGAACGAACATGTAGTGGCGGTTAGTGGGAAGAATAAATGCTCGCATTGTGGCAAAGAACTTGGTGAGTTCTGAATTGAACTGACGCATCTTGCTCTCAGCACATATTGCTTGCTTCTTCCCCTTGTTTTCGCTTATCATTTGCTTTCGATTTGCCATTCCATTAGATTGTTTTCGAAGATGTTGCATCGCTATCATGTAGCATACAGTTCACCTAGAACTGTTTTGTAGTAATATATTTGTGAAGTTTTTATCTAGTTCTCCTCAAGAATTACCAGCCTGCGAATTTTTATACTGAGGCAGTTGAAGTGGTCTATCCCCTTTGAAAAAGTAACAATTAGTCTCTTTTTTTGCGATGTGATCGATCTTGCCAAATATTTACAAAGCCAAATAAAAAAAAATTGGTCCTTTAGTGTGAGGGGAGCCAATTATGCTGATGTAGTTTTGTTATGTTGTGTTCATGCTGAAATAGTTTTGTTTGCTTCTTCCCTTTTCACTTAAAAAAATTTTGGTTCTGACGTGTTTTCCTGAGAGTAAATGTGTATGTTGAGAGTTGCTTCGTTTTAGTTAATCCGTGCCACTGTGAACAACGTCCAGTTTCGTAAGCTTTGCTCATTGCTTATCTAACGCCTTATATCCTATATAGTGGATTATCTATCATATCGTGATTATATAGCACGGATTATATCACCACTGCATGTTTCCTAATCATAAACGCTCAGGCATATCCTACATCATAGTTGCTATCTTTTATCATTGCTTATATCGAATGGCACCTCTTCCCCAAATCAGGTCAGTTCCTTGCTGCTATCCACTTAAACTGCACCTTTTATGTTCCTCATTAATCTCTCCGCAGTGTGATCGTATTGCTCGATGTTTTTCTCGATCAATCAACTTCAACTCATCTTCATGCTCATCGCATCTATTCACGTATCCTAACCAAAGATTTTGTTAGTTTGGTGATGGTTGCATGTAATCTTTGAAAAGTCTGTAATTAATGGAGTTATATTTGCGAACTATCGTTGCGTGTTATTATTTCACAACGGCTCGTGTTCTAGTCGAAATTCACCTAAATTTATCAGAATGTTTCCCTATTGAAAGGGTCGCGATTTTAAATGAAGTGAATTTGTTTCATTGAATTTTGTCATTTTATTTCTCCGTTTTTTTTTGAACTATCGCAAAGTCAGTTCGAAAGCATTGTTGATGGGTTGGTGGTGCGTGCATGATGAAGTCAATGAATAATTTCGGTTGCCATCGAACAAGAATGCAAAATTTTCAGGGCGTGGTGCAGCGATGATCATCGAATCCCTAGGTTTATTCTATCATTTGACCTGTTTCCGATGTTATGTCTGTAATACGCCACTGGGAAACGGTCGGCAAGGAGCGGATGTGAGGGTCCGTGACTCAAAGCTTCACTGTCAACGTTGTTACAGCAACGATGAAGCCGGACTCAAGTTCAGTCAGGTGTAATTCTTTATCGATACATCGCTACGTCGTTATTTGTTCATCACTTATATTCTCATCTGCAGTCGCTTCCTACGCTCACCAAAAAACAACTTTTTATATTCACTCACTGCGCCCTATCAGAGCATTAAGAACATGAAAACTCCAATTTTCGGCAATACTGTGAACATTCGATTGATTATATTGTGACGCGATTCCGCGCTTCTTCTATATCAATGTTTGCAAACCCTTTTGGATAGCAACCCGTGGCTTTGAAGTGCAGTGAAGAATCCGTTTTGTTTTGTCATTTCAAGTAAGCAACGGTTTTAATCCTTGTGAATATCCCCACTAATCGTTGTTCATTGTTTATACGTTGTGCTGGTAGCTGTTATTCTAATGTCCGAAAAGTACATCTGATCGTGAGAGGAAACAGGGATGAGTGTTCAGTAGATTCTTTGGTATTAGTTTGCTGAGAAATGCGTTGTGTTTTGTTGGAAGCAATTTTCTACAATTCACTTCAAACGGAGCAAACAATCAAGCAAAATTCACTCTTGTAGGTCATAGATCATGTCCGCAATATTTCTTTCACGTATTGATATTTTATAGTCTAAAGTAAACGTAGAAAATTTGGGTATTTATTTGTAAAAAAATGTTGCCTTACATTTTGCTCGAAGCAATTTGCCATAAATGAACAAACGTTTAGTCCTACTCTCTCGCCATTTGCCGATGTATTTTTCACACACAGATCGTTAATTTATTTTTGTTCGATAATCTTACATTGGAATTGAAGCGTTAAAATGTGCAGCTCATTACGTTCCATTGAAAAAATTGTATTATTTGTTCATTTCAATGATTTCTATCATATTATCATACTATAATATGTCATGCTTACTTCTGCTGTTATAATGTAATTGTTGATGCCTTAATCTGGTTTAATGCCTTCGTTCGTTATGGCCGTTCTGTTTCAAGTACTGTTCATACTAATAATAGGGGTTCGTTCGTTTTTTGTTTCAGATTTGTTCTATGCGCTGTTTTTTTGTGCGATTATTTAGAGGACGATACGCTCCCAAGTGGCAATGGTACCGATTGGAAGCGTCTCTTCCTCCAAATAATTTAATGCTACGATATTATGCTAACAATTCAGTATGATACCTTTCGGTTAAGTCGAATTTTTCATTGATCGTGGCATTGCATCTTATGAAAGTTAGATAGATAGGTGCTTGCCATGAAGTGTTGTGCAGATTTTTTCATTAAAAACATATTTTACACGTTTATTCAGAATATATGATTGCATGGAATTGTGTACATTTTGGATAAAGTTACAACATCTTAATGATGAGTAATAACACTAATCCAATCAAAAATGACCTTTTTTACATGCACATGATCAACGGAATGTGGGTCAGCTTCTTGCGTGCATCACGGAAATGAGATCGTCTTCCATTTTTGTGTGCTGATTTCTCGGAACATCCACCAGAAAATTTTCCAGCAGTGCAAACGTATACAATTAGGAGTCGATACTCACAATCAGTCGGAAACAGAGAAGCGGTGCCCTGATAATAATCATTTCGGGAGACGATGAGTACCATTGAAAAGAACATCTCTCGAATACGACTTTCTTGTCTCTAATAAGGCTGACCAGCCACTGTTGCGGAGGACCAATGTAGAAATATGTGTGTTTATATTTATGAAAAATTTTTATAAGGATTTTCGAAAAAAAAATTGTCTACCGAAAATGAGAAATGATTTTTATTTGCGTGATCTACGCAATAACCAATAACTATGATTGTGCTATTCATGTGAAAAGCAAAAATTCCTATTGGGCAGTGTGAATTTTTTCTTAAGTACGCAAATGACACTCATTTAAGAGAAGTTAACCGTGTGATGAGAAGTTAACATAAGAATGGTGCTGACTGCTTAATGTTGTGGAATGCACATGTATTTGTCATGATACAACAGTTGAATCAGAATCAAAACGTGATCTCATTCTCGTAGAGATTGTTTGCACTAGCAGTGTTGCTTTATTTGATAACAATTACGAATGTACAACAGAATTAGTGAAGTAATGATTCTGAAGCATGAATCGATGGCTGATCACCATTTGAACATACGAACAATATTGTTGTATGGCCATCTGCGAATGAAGTATTTACGTGTTTCGTTGAATACCCACAGACACACGCCTGCGCCTAGTGAAAAGAACCATGCCTGAAATATTGCGGTTTTCATGCAGATTTCTTAATCTACATAAAATGGGGTCGATTGAAAGGCTGGCATCTGATCTAGGTAAGGTCACTGAAGGCAAAGTTCCGACAAAAAAAGCGTTGCAGTTTGGGCACTCTGATGAGATCTGGCATTGAACTGTGACACTTCGGAGTTACTAAAAACATTGAAAGTGTAGATCTTTTACCTTATACGGAGGAGGGCTAGCGCCCATAATGTAGTTTACTCCAGGTGTGTAAATGAAAATGACAACGAGAAGTATTTCGATGATCACTGCATAAACCGTCACCTTAAAAAGTAAAATTAATTCGATGATTAAATACGACTTTGCACGGATGTAACAAATGGTCTCTTTCAGTGCTACATTAACTCAGTTTTCCCTCTTGCATTCCATCATAGTGTTTTATGAGATGATCATTTATGTGCCCAAATTTTTGCGCAACGACGAAATCAAAGTGTTTTAGTGACATCAGCGGAGAATATAAAAGTGCATATTTGGAGAATGCACTTTTGACCAATGATTGATGTATTCGGTGTGGCAGTGCTCTTTAATCACTGAATGAATATGAAGAGAGACTTTTTTCATACCTTTCGTTAAAAAATAAATTGATAGCCGTACAAAATGAAAACCTAAATGGAAACTGAGAAAATTGATAAGATATGGTGGAAAAACTAGCTGACTTTTAAAAGAAAACTGAGGAACTCGAATTCATGATTTAGAAGTGTAATACCCTCTATTGGGCTTTAACAACAATCACCATGTCAAAACAACGAGAAGCAATATACTAATGTAAGATTTTTCGTACACTACTACTGCAGTCGTTTCTTTCAGCAAACTAGCACATTATGATGTAGCAGAAAAAACGGAATTGTATTGATTATGGGAGCTCATTAAGTGAAGCACTTTATGAACAATGGACTTTGAGGTAACATGTGAACTGAGTGTACATACCACATTGTTAGCACCGTGTCGGAAAAAGGACGTTCTTCGAGTAGTACACATCCAAACATGGAATGCCTGAAATGCTTCTGGACCTATCAAGAGTTCTGCAGTTTCACGGAAAGGCATTTAATCGTCATAAAGATTCGGAACATAGTGTTCATTCACGATATATTATAGAATATTCACTGTATGATCTGGTAGCTCAAAAACGAACCTGTGACACAACTAGAGTCAAATAATATGCCGCAGCAGCTTGATTGCGAATGTTGACCTGAAGGTGTTCATCGTAAACGTTACCGTTGCTAGTGAAATTACCAACAGGATTATATCGGAAATATTTTGATGCACTGAAGAAGAGATCTTTGAACGATATACCATTATATCTGAAACATCAACGTCATCATGCGTCATCTGAATTACCTCACTCAGTTCGATAATCCAATATCACCAGTTTCGCTAGTCACAATGCAGTCCCAGTTCATTTCACGTTTGCTTACGTACACTTTATAAGAAAATATTGCTGAAAGCAATTGTTTTTCACGAATGGGACCAGAAAATTCATCTGTGAAATATTATTACACAACAGTTATGTGGACGTTTCGGATCGTTCGATGATCAGAATGGGTGAAGTCGAAACCAGAAAACAGAATAAGATTGAAGAAGGGTTGTTGAAATACTAGGAAACTTACGCATAAACGTAAACGTAAGCAGCAGTTGACCAGCCAATAATGATGCCAGCGGCGAGAATGTATGAGTAGGCCAGGAGTGCGAAACTGACCAATCGAGTGGTGTTCTTTCGAGGCGGTTTGCTCATAATATCCCTCTCTGAATTCTCGTATGCAAGCGAAATAGCTGGTGTTATTTCAGTACCCAGATCGATACTCAAAATCTGCAAATTTGACCACCTGAGCGCCGCTCACAATTGACATCCGTCCTGGATTCATGACGATCACTCATGAAATAATTCCAAATCATCGTATGGTATAACTTAAATATGAGAATCGCATCGAAGAACGTGAAAATGTCCAAACTGCTCACCTGTAACGATGTAATAGCCATAGGGATACCGAGGAGGAAGTTGAAGACGATTGGAACAACTTCTGGAATAGTGTGTGTGAGTGTATATGCGATTGTCTTGCGAAGATTGTCGAACAAAAGGCGACCCTCCTCGATTCCTTTTACGATCGACGCGAAATTATCATCCATCAAAATCACATCAGCTGCTTGTTTGGCCACATCGCTACCTGTGATAAATCTATCAAATCTATCCAGCACCATGCACTTCTCAATATCGCATCAAACTTAAGCACTGATTCATTTCACGAATCACATTCATCAAGCAATTCAGCATCGCCATTCGCTTTTTAAATGAGTCAACAAGTTGATGAATTGCGATGATCCTACCAGTAACGCCCATCGCAACTCCAATGTTGGCTTTTTTCAGCGCTGGAGCATCGTTGACACCATCACCGGTCACGCAAACCACCTCTCCCCTCTCCTGGCACTTTTCAACGATCAGCAATTTCTGCTCTGGCGTTGTTCTGAATAAAGTGCTCGAAAGTGAATACGATTCGCTATAAACATGCTTGCCACTTGTTCATCTCGGTAACTACTACCACTGAGAGTTGTCAACTTTAGTAGACTACCATTTATCACACGAAAATTGTTGCTTTCACACTGTCAACTTTATGACAAATGAATTTGTGATAAAATATCCGTGCTAGCTGTCAAATATGCCAGAATTACGTGAAACATGAATGCACCTAGCGAAAACGATATAGCTATGAGCGAGTAGTTCATCCCAGTCGCCGTCACTCATCGACGGTAACATTTTACCGTGAACCGTCGCCCATTCTTTGTCAGTCTCTTCTTCGATCTCTTCGACCGGTACATTCACGGTCACTCGTCGGCGACTTTTCACGTCAACCACCTGAATTATCGGTTCGTCTTTGGTCAATACATTTCACTGAACGAATATCTGAAACGCTGCAATGAAATCTGACTCTCCGAAGAGCGTTTTAAGAAGTTTGTTCGTTATTTTTTTTCAGATATCAGATTGAAAGCAGTCCAAAACATCGAACTTATTGCTTGCCTGTTCTTGATGACCAATGAGTCCGATTTCGCGAGCAATCGCAGTGGCTGTTGATGGATGATCACCTGAACAAACGGATACTGTTAAGGAAACATTTGATATGTTTGAGAATATCACTTAATCTGTGCAGACCACAGATTTGTCCAGCCCGAGTAACTGCTGTTAAATAAGTAAAAAAACAGCAACTGATTCAATTCACAAGAAGTGATCGTATTTCTTCTCCATAAGCATTTGGAAATGTATACCTACCTGTTACCATAAACACCTTAATACCAGCGTGTTTGCACTGTGCGATTGCATTTGCTGTGTCCGGTCTGAAACAGTCTTCGTGTATAGCAATTATTTCTTAGACTTGGATATATCTGCCCTCTATAGTCGTTGGATATGAACAACAAACCTTGGTGGATCCATGATTGCAGCGATACCAATGAATGTGAGTTCTTCAAATGGAAAGTTTCCCTCCTCGACACTGAATTTCGAATCTGAAGCTGCCCGAAATTCTTTTTGTGCGAATCCGATCACTCGACGACCGTTGTTGCCGTAATGATCGTATGCATCCTAAATCAGCGAACCTAACTTTCATCCAAAAATTCATCAATAATTGTCACATCGCGACGGAAAAGCAAATTGAATTAGTTAGATATCTTCTTCTGCGTGCAATCAGCATGAGAATAACTCGTGGTTTTTAAAAGAAATGGAGTATTTTGAAATCGAGAGTTACTGTGCAGTAAATTGTGCTAATTCTCGAACTGATCAAGTTGTCGCATTGTTGTACTATGTAAGGGGATGTCATGCAAGAAGTATGTGTGGAAATTTTGAGGTTAGTTGGTGTGCATTGAATTAATATTCCAACTTGAAATTCCATTTGAATTTCATCATCAATCGGGATCGCAGCGTCTTGCATAGCGATTTGTGAGCACTTCGTTATGACCACTTCAGGCGCGCCCTCAAACATGAAACAATAATATTGAAATGATAACTGATTGAATATGGCATGAGCTGAATAAAACAGCAACAATATAATGAACGGTCGTATCAGCGTTTGCGTAGAAAATTCGTTAGAAGACACAACTAAGTCAAAGGCAAGGAACCAACTTTAAGCATAATCGTATATTTGGTTTGTCCGTCTTCTTCGATAACACGGCCACTCTCACGAACAATCATCAAATGCCATTTACGCAGTGAATTGAATGGTACCTCATAAACGATCTATAATTTGAATCATCAACTGATCTTTTATCATACCGTTGAAAAATACAAAACTCCTTCACTCACTCGAAAATCCATTCACACTAATCATTTGGGAATTGATGAGCAGTCATTTTCATTCGCACTGAATAGAGTGGTCAAACTGGGTTTATAAATCATTCATGGAGATTAGAAAACGAAGTGAATGAAACGGCTAATGTTTCTTCAGTGAATGTATTACGGCGAAATTCGCTTTCATGAGATTTTTGAAGATTGATGCTGTAATCATATGAAGAGAGTGATGGAAATAGCGACGTAATCAAAAATTAAACGATACATTAACATATTAATCGTAAGATCAATAATGCTCACGTGGTATTTGCCTCGCAGCCATGAAACATTAGCCACTTTGTCCGCGTATCGTAACAAGGCCACCTCCGAGGGCATTCCAGTAATCCGATGTTCTCCAGCGAGTTTCATTGATGCAACCGACATTTGATTGGTAAACTTCGGTCGTTTTGTGAAAGTATTCCCTGATTCTGGATCACTAAATTTCTGATCGTGACGGATGGATATCCGATCAAGAAAACAATACCATGATTACAAATGAATATAGCGGCTCATGAAAATTCTGAAGCACGTTTCACTCGAGCAAATACTTCTTGACCAGACATGAAACGGAGTGATCAGTCCCATATCCAGTAAAACGGTCATAAGTTGAAGCCATCCCATCCATAAAACATAATACGTATTTCTAAACAAGAACTCACGTGATCGTATTGGCTCTGGTTCGTCCACTCGGATGCCACACGAGACTATCTTGATTATTTCGTAATCGACTCACCATTGAAAGTTGTTCACCTGTACAAAAACATTCAAAGCAAGATGAAAGAGCATGAGAAGAACGTAATATAATGCTTGCTAATTGCTGCATTTATCGATTAGGCTCATTCAAAGAAACGTTTCGTACTTGATCCAGTTTTTTTCTTGAGCCAAACACTTGAACTGGTATTTTGTTTCATTTCAAGTGAATCACACGTAGTCTACCCTAGCTGCTCCTATTTTTCCTGCCCCATTTAAGTGTGTTTGCAAATGTCTCACAATCAGTGAACTTGCTTTCTATAGGATGGCCAGTCGAGGAATAACATTTTCACTGGGTGAAAGTTGATTGTTCGCCACTTCAAATGTTTTACTTTTTACAGATGCTGCTGAGAAGATAACAAGAATATTCATATATAAGATCATAGCACTAACGGCCAACATTCGTCAATCCAGTCACTTCAATTTGCGCCTTGTTGCAAATACTCATTAGTGTGATCAGATCGGGGATTGGTTTATCGTAGATGTCGAGAGTCATTGGTAATGGCTGATTGCGCGTCTGGAGAGTATGGAGGGTTTTGTGCTTCACTTCAGGCAGACCTGAATTCATTTCAAAATTGTAAGCATTTATATTCACTTATGAACCCAAATTATACAAATGACAGCGTAATCACATAGTTTCTTCGTTTATTTATTGGTTTCAAAAACTGAAGTGAAAAATGAACAGCAGATTCATGAATGAGCATATTGTTGTCTTGTTAAATCACCAATAGTGCTTAATGAATATTAATGATTGCAATATATTGAATACCGCTAACGTATCTGAGTCCCACCCAAACATCCGTAACAGTCATATTATTCGTAGTCAAAGTGCCAGTTTTATCCGAAGCAATCACCGTAGCTGCACCGAACGCATCAACCACATCCAATTTCTTCATGTAAACATTCTTTTTGGCCATACGACGTGCAATAATCGTTAACTCGGATGTTACTGTTGCCGGAAGACCTGAAGATTTCGATGGGAAACTAAATCTACATCAACGATGAGTCGAATGAAAACTGCGCCTAGAAATAAATTCTGATTGATGGAGTGAACGGAATTATGACAGCACCAGGCTTGGACGGATCTTTGAGTTGCGCAAATCACTGAGCGATTTGATGAATCAAATTTTGAGGAGAATAAATTGTATGTGAACAATACCCTGTGGAACGTTAGCGATGATTACGACCAAAAATCCGGAAGTAAACAGTCCGAGAATGTCGTTGAATCCAGTCATTAAACATCCAATCAAAAAGATTACCGCACCCATTGTGAGTGCTGAGATGAAGACGAATTTGACGAAGCGATTTATTTCGATTTCCAATGAGGATTTCTGTTGTATTTGATTCGTGGTCAACGAGGCGATTTGACCAAGAATCTGTCAAAATAATCTAATTATCATTTACTCAGGTGATAATTCATTGGTATAACCACTTTTTTTAAATCAACATTGTTATTTTGATAGGAAGATACAGATTCAAGAAAGAAACACAATTTCCGCAGTTGATGTGCTCGTTCGATTTGTTGATGCGTTCGACGGAATGAATGTNTGTACTGACGGATGAAATGAGCACAAAATGAGTCTAAACTGACCGTGTTTTGGCCAGTTCGAATCGCGATACCGACCCCCTCCCCGTCCACACAAAACGATCCATTAAACGCGACATTCGCTGATTCAAACACATCAATGTGTTCAGCAACTGGCTCACTTTGGAAATCGATCGGTTCTGCTTCACCAGTTATTGACGATGCTTCCAGTTTCAAATTGGAGCAATGCTGCAATTTTATTTACACATTACTTCTATCATCACATCAGACTATTTTACGCTCTTGTCCTAACATCAGCATTCGAGTGGTTTACTATCATCATAGCAATATTATTCCTATCATTACTACGACTATCATTATCATCATTCCTATGAATACAGATTCATCTTTATTTGCATTATCACTAAAATGATCGCCTTCAATCGTTATCAGAATATGCTTTGCTATCTTTATCAGCGAACGAGCAAGCGTTCCGAGAGCGGAACGAAATGAACGGCTTTTCAGCAGTGTGTAAACAACTCGAACGTATCGCTTCTTCACGCTCACGCTCAGTATGCCACTTACAACATTTCGTAAAACTTGTTAGCAACAAGTATGGCCTAACTTCCGCTACAGTAACCAATCGTTGCTGATAGCGTTACAATAACATTTCTCCCACAGAAAATCAATGAACAATCTATTCAGTGGTCATGAGGAATTCTCACTGTGTTCATACGTGTTTGTTTATAAAAACGCATCACTTTTGGCTGCTATTCGTTGAAAATTTGTGTCTTCCGAATTCAGAGTTCATCAATTTTAAGAATTTGTTGACGTTGGACTATTTAAATTTTCAACTCTTTCTGATCAGAAACTATTTGTTTGATTGGGACGCAAAGAAACTCATGCGTGTGATATAGATCAATTTATGGTGCTGAAATCAACACAAGCAGATGAGGAAAGCTCTCATAAGTGCATAAGAAATGCAGCGATTTTGTGACCACGTCGGTACTGTGCCCTCTTGCAAATTTCCCCAATAATAGCATCGTATTTCAACAAAGATTTTGAACTGACGCGGAATCGAACGTATGCCTTCTGAGCTCATCTATTCCTAAACGCGCAATGCGACTAAATCACTAAACCGGCTCATTGTACGATCATATCAAATCTATTTCCGTTCTCCCAACGTAACTAAATCCCTTCGCTCATCAGCCCATCATTCATATACGCCGGATTTTCGCACTAGCCACGATAGACCAGTTTAGACTTTGCTCATCAGTTTAGACGGTGAATATTCGCTCGAAGAGAACGACGTTATTGACTGTTAATAAATCAATAATGATATTGATAACACGTTTCCTGTTCACAATAAATGATCTCACAGTGCTGGGCAATGGCTTATTAAAAGGTAAGACGGATCAATTCGGTAATGCTTATTGAAAATGACGAAAAGCAACTCACAATGATGCGTACGTCTGCAGGCACTCTCGAACCACACTTAACAATCACGATGTCACCAACAACAATCTTTTCTGTATCAATAACAATTTGTTGACTATCACGAACCACATTGCACTTCGTTGGAAGTAAATTCGTAAATGCTTTCACGACCTGAAATAGGCAGGTATTGTACCCGGAATCAGTGCTCTGCAAACACTTTCAATTGAAGCTGACGGTAAACAATAGTTGCTTGAGGAATTGCATTACAACTCGTCAAATTCTTTGACTGAATATGGTAAACATTTCTTCCAAATAACGCAAGCGTGAAAAGTAGTTGCTCAGAACTTCCATATATTGATCTACTCAATCATGCAGGTCTCTGAACAATATTAAATTTCCGTTAGAGAATGTCGTGTATAGAAGCATTATCAAAACACACATCATCTTCGATTATGCAACCAATCTTGATAATCGTTCATAATCAGTTTCAGTTGATTTCAAATTCCGCCCGTTTTATTTTGATAGCGGATGAAAATCCTCGTGCCTATCAATCATGAACCAAAGTAACTGTACAGTATAGCAATATTTCATGAACTTTTGCACATAAATTGCGCAATCATGAGTATGTGGATAATTGCTTGTCAAAGCGTTGAGCCTCATGTCCCCTTTTGGCTGCACGATAGGCTGCCGTTCCCCTCTCATTAACCCTGTTTGATGATATTCAGTCTTCTTTCCCAGCACCCTAAGCGATATGTCATAAGCATAATATAGAACTAATTCATTGGACAGGCTTGCTGTGAGCAATTTGTCGGTGGTATCAGACAGTTGTTCTTCGTGATCGAAAAAACACTGTGAAACCATTAAGGAACAACGGCAGATGATAGTTTAAAAACCCGATCAACATTGATTCGTCAACCTCCTCTATTTTCCCTACTCATATCCTCACATATCCTTCCTTTTCCCTTCTGACATCCAGACAAATCAGTGGCTATCGCTAAAAAAGCAGAGGTTGTTGGGATGAGTCACAACAAAATGCAGCTGAAATATTGTTGAAGAACGCAATATTGGAATGTTTACATTGATGGCCTTTTTCTCTTCGAAGAACGTCACAACGCACATAATGATCACAATCAAGATCAGCACAATCGCCACATAAAGATTGATAACCACTCTGAAAGATCATTTTCATGAAGCACACACCGGGAAGCACTTTCAATTCAATGAAAAACTTCCTTTAATGTTGACTTTAATGTTGGCCTCGATTAATCTTGTACCTTTGCCCTCTCTCGATGTTTGCCTTCCCAAAGAGGTCATAAGAATCCTTCGAAGATGGAAAGAGATTTTCACTGATTGTAAGAGATTCAATGCAAAATCACCTATTAAACTGTTTTGGTGTGGAAGGTACGCTACAAGTTGCGTTGTTTTTCTGGTTGATTATTCGTTGCATACAGATGAAAATGGTTTGAATTAGTTCATTAATGAAAAACTCACGTTCGGTCGAGGAAGAATGTGACCATACTGAGGATTGCAGCACCTATGAGAAGTATCCAGAAAAGATTCACGAATTGCCTCAAGAAAAGTTTCAGATTACTGATTTCAGCGGGTGGCGCAAGCGCATTCGGACCATCTTTCTACAAGACTCAGCAATTGAACTATTGAAATACTGATCATATATTCAATGAAAACATATATTCTTTTCAAGAAGAAAAATGAGCACGTAAACAATTCATAGTTCTCCTCTGGTTCAACATTTGAGAAGTGATTTTTGCTGTGTAATAAACCTTGTGAAGATAAATTATTTCCGACTCTTCTACCCAATTTACTAGTGCCAAAATTTCCACTGTCACAAGACAGCAGTGAAAGATGGCAAGTACAAACTTCAAGACGCTGCTCGGCCTCTTGACCTGCGAGGCCTTTACTCGAAGATGGACTTTCAACGTTGACTCGGGAGGATCGATAGAGTTCTGCTAGCTCCGCAATTGTCAGTCTGTGTTCTTTGAATGTGCTGAAACTTGCAGCTGACATGTTGGCTGTGAACGATTTGGTGCACTGATTATAAATTTTTCGCATAAATTTACCGAAATCTGGGTTAATATTGTTGTCCTGAGTTTTCTTTCCCATCAAATATTGTTCGCAAGAAAAGAGCATATCATTTTCTCGGATATTTCTCGCAGGAAAATACGAGAGTTTAGCAAAAACGCATGAGTACCGGAAATGAGCACTGGTGAAAATTGACAATCAAAACCCTCTGAAGGTTGCGTTATTGACCGTTGGCATTAATGTGCCTCGTTGAATGGAAACGAAATACGACGTCAAAGCAGATGAACGTCAGCCATGTTTTTGTCATGAATGCATGCATTTCGTTAGGAGTGGAAAAATATTGAGATTTGAAACATTACTTGCTCAAATTACGGCTCGATTCTTGATTTCGTGTCATGCCTGTTCCAACACCGTTCTGTGCATCCTTTCCAAGTGCTTTTCTTGCCAGCCATTTCGCTAAGCCTATCGTAAAGATTATCTCTTTCTCTTATTCAAATCATGTAATCTTGGTTGAACGTGAAATATCTTTTGGCGATCACCTGCTTTTTGCGGTTGAATGTTTCAAAGTTAGCAACTGAATACCGCCAATGTTACATCTCGATGACCTCTATGAAAAACAGTATATTTTCAACGGGATATGAAATAGAATGGCATGGAACTGAATAAAATTCCAATATCAGCCATTTTTGACAAGACGGGAGTATTCTTAATATTCAAATTGCTATGCAAAGTAGTTAAGAAAGATTTCAGCTTGACGCTAGAAAAACATTAGCACGTTGTCGCCAGTGTTCAGAAATGTTTCAAAATATGCGACTGCTAAAAGCAGCACTGAGAAACAGCGGGAATGCTTGTGCGGGCCGCGAACAATAGAACAAATATGCATGATAAACGCACAGTAAACGGTACTTTACGACGTGTCAGCACCTCAGATCATTGTTTTGCTGTACTTACTATTTCAGGTCAGCTAGGGAGGATTTGGATTCAAAAAAAGAGAAATTATTTGGTGAAGTAGTGATCGTATTTGAAGCAGAAACTAACAGACGATTCAAAAGAAATGTATTGAAGAGGGTAGTGTAAATGAACTCACCTGGCATAATACCGATCCAAGTAACGACCGATTGCGAGTAGTGATAGGGCGATGATGGTGGTGATATGCTTTTCTGCTGGGTTGGGGAAAGAAGATGTTGTTGAGAATGATAAGGGTGAACGATTAGTGGTGTTGATCAGTTGATTGGTTCGTTTGTTCACGTTTCGCAATCGTGTTTCTGGTTGGATGTGTTTTGATGGTGTGATGAACATGAAGAAATACGAGTAGCATCTACAGTGTTGATGTGAGCCGGTATGGAGTATTCGAAGCGTTTCTAATTGATGATAAATCGTAATTTTCATTTCTTTACTTCACTCCATCATTCTATTAATACTCCAATATTGTCACATTCAGTTATCATTCCATTCCATTTCATTTCTATTATTTCATTGACGAATACCAAAACTCATCCGACTGAACTCATCACATCATTCAGTTTTCAACACTTCCATTCAACAACAACACCAACTGACAAACTAAAGTCACACATCACTCAAGTGGTCACAATTTTTGTGCTCTTTACGTCATCTCATTCGAACCTGCAACCACTAAAGATGAGAATCAAGAAATCGATCCAGTGCTAAGATGTTCACTGCATACCGTTTCCCAGTGATATGGAATGAACCTTTTCTCTCTGCTCAATGAAGCATTTCGGAAACAAACTTCGTGAAAAACAATTATGAACAATGATTCGATATCCTCTAACGTTCTCTAGTCCCACCGCCTGACATTCTCAAATCCCTTCCATGTGGGAAGTTTCTCGCCGTTGAAAATCACTGATGAAAATGAACTTATTTGATTACACAACAATAGTTTATTCCTTTCCTTGTGTGTGTGAGAGAGAGAGATGTCCCGAGTGGAAAAAAATGAGTTAATGACATTCGTAATTAAAGAGGCCTGCGGAAATCTAATTGAGTTCGCTGATGACATCGTTCCATTTTCGATTCAGAACTACTTTCACATTGCTGAACTCCAGACTCCTTTTGATTCTTGCAAGGTTCTACGTACAAAATTGATAGATTTTTTTGATGCTAATTGATATAAATCTGTTCTCCACTGTTTCATAGTCAATTTCAAAAAAATCAGTCGATCGTTTGATATTGCAATGATCAACGGTTTAAGATCACATGCGTTAGTGGGAGAAAGACGGGAGAAAACTCCTTCAGAAGGAGAATTCAAGAAGGAACAAACTGACGGGGTTAGCAAAAATACCGCAGATGTTTTCTGTCAGGTTAGAAATACATCTTCTAATGGCATTCAGTTTGTTCCAGTATGATGAAACTCCCCTGAGGATGATTTGAGGATGTCAGGGACAAATGAGAACGTCGGCGAATCATTTTTGATTCCTTTTTTTTCATAACTCTTCTACGCTTGCCTAGTATCTCTCTCAGAATGCTTATTTCGTCACAAAAAANAAAAAAGCAACTCATTCCTTCCATATCGCTGGGTAATTTTTTCTCACTAACTTCTTCATCAGCGGATCGGTTTCCTAGTTTTCTTTCGATATCTTGTTAAGATATGGCAGACTGTTAGAGGAGGAGAGTGGTCATGCAGATTTTTACAGGCAGGAAAGTGCAGTCTAGCAACGGCTAAAAGGGAGCACAGAGCGCAAGAATGTGATGCTAGCCACTGCCTTAGGTCGACTGAGTGATAGTTAACGAACGAACGAAGTTGTTCCGTAATCAGTGATCTTTTTCAATGACAATAAGCAGAAAACTGACGAGCAAACTGGGAACCATGAAAGTATTTCCCAATTGCGGCTCTTTGTATTTGCTTTACTGTTGATAACGAATATGAGTGCTATTTTTAGACTGAAAACGTCGGAAATTCGATATTAGAAGCATTTTCAATTGCACTATTAGCTGACTGTATTGAGAATATTTGCAATTAATTGCTTATGCAACAGCAATTGCTGTTTTATCAGTGAAACTCTTCTGAATGATCAGCAGTGATAAGTGGAAATATATACAAACATTATATGTACATGTATTTGAATAGTAATGCATTATGAGCAGTGATGAATTGCGCAGTTATGAAACGAGCATCTGTAGATGAGTATTCAAGGCATTTGGTTACTGTGATATCGGTCAGCAACTGCAACACCAGCTCATGATCACATTCTACTAGAAGTACCGAGGAGGAGCAATCGAAATACCGTTTCAGGTATTGCTTTTGAGCAGAACTTGTGAACAAATACGAAGATTCACGCCCATGAAATACATTTCACAGGAAACAGGACAATCAGCTAGAAACTCAATAACTCTTCGTAAACTTAAAAGGGCTCGTAAAGATCCGATTGATTCGTTTTGTCGCTAATACTTCGGATGTTTTATGCAGATGATTCAGCGAAAACTTTCGTCATATTCGATAACAACCTCTGAAATCACGATCTGATCTATCAAAAGTCACACTTTTTTCGTCATATTAATGTAAGACAAAATACCTCAATGCAGATTAGTATTTGCAGGGGATCCCAGGATCCTGATGTTTGAATCTCGAATCGATTCCGAAGAGGCTTTGACTGAGCAAACCATTGCGTAATGGTGCCACCTTGGCTTTCGTTTTTTGCAGAATACAATGAACAACAGTTTCGTAACGTCATCACTCTCGCTTCATCTTCTGCCACTGCCGTTCTTTGGTCTCCCATTTGTGATCGTTTCTCGATTCCGGCGTTGAAGTCCCATCTCAAAATGTAATTTCAATCTCGGCATCTAAAAGTACTCGGGATTTCGGAAACTGTAGTCCAAATGCAAATAAACTATTTTTTGGAAAATGCTCATTTGCAGATAATTTCATTTTCTGCNCAACAATCCCGTTTCACTATTGCAATTTTTGAAACAAGCGAACGCTGACAATGAAAGTGAAAGGAGAACAAAACAAAATTAATGCATACATGATGAATATTGGAATGAGCCATCGGCAAATTTTCACTGTTTTGAATTCTTACGCTATTGAGTGGTTTGATTGTATGCTCGTCGGTAACGTGCGCTTCGAGGAAGCTCTTATTCGATGAACTGGATCAGTTCCACTGAATGAACCAAAACACCTGACTCACATGTAAGTGCTACGGTCTAGAAGTAATCATAATGCAAAATTCAAAAAATTCGATGCTGATAAGATTTTCAACAACAATGAAAGTGTGAGGAAAAGTGCTAGATGGGAACGCTGGTTCTTGCGCTGTGACACATTGGTAGGTCGCAGCTAACGTTTCAACACTGAACAAATCGAGTCTATTCCGGTGCAGAATAATGTTTCCAGGGTTATTTTTATTTAGTTTGTCTTCTTTTAGACATATCAACTGCTCAAACTGAATTTTTGAACGGTTCACCATGATTGCATTGCGCATATTTTTGTGCATTTTTTTACCGGTTAGTCGTGTTTTGTTCATATGTAGTAATTCGCAACAGTCTTCGGAGTTTCAAGCTTTTGGTCCATCTGATCATGAATCAGAACTGTTTAATCAGTCATGAATCATTATGTTGATGTGATAAAACGAAATCAGGAATTCGCAACGCATCAGAGAATTGCGCTCTCCAAAATTTCATTTCGGAGATCAACAAGAAACTCTCAAAATGAAGGAAGCAGGCAAGGGTTGAATTGAAATTACAACAGTTGAGAGGAACTCTTTCGCATGTGGGCCCTACCTCCTTACAAAAGGCAACGTTGGATACAAACTCATATGTATTCTTTCGTTGGCACCAAGAACATGAAAAGCTTACACTGACATGGCTGTTGTTGTGTTGAATAAAAGAGGAAGAACTAACTCAGAATCACAACGACTTTAAGCAGTAATGCTTTCAGCCGGTCGCGATATACTTTCAATACTTGCAATGCAACGTTCATGTGGTCATGAATCTTTTCTTGTGGATGTTCGTGATACCCGCATGCGTACATGCTT